AGCGGGATCACGTCTGCCCTGCTGTCCCCACGGCACACGGTCCCTTGCGGCGTGCGTGTGTCCCTGCCGGGGGAGCGGTCAGCCCGAGCTCAGGTGTGATATGTCAGGTGAAACAGTGCTGGAAGTATTTGGAGAGGAGGAAATAGAGGGAGGGAGATGCTTCATTTGCACACGTGGGCCGGGCAGACCCGTGGCTGCTGGGAACTGGGGCCAAAGCGATTCTGGGGCGAATGGGAGGGATTTCATCCCAGCAATCCAGTGGGAAAAGCTGTTGCACCTCGGGGAGAGCACAGCCCCCCTGGTCCACTTGGGGCCTGACCCCAGCACCGGTGCAGTGCATGGAAGGACAGCGCTGGGCCAAGGTCAAAGTAAAACTGAGCTTCAGGCAGCGTCTGATCAGGTCTCTGCAGCTCCTGCCTCCGTGGGAGTTAATTAGCCTCGCTAATTTGTTTCCTCTGTGCAGGATGAGGCCCCACTGGGAGGCAGCCAGGATTGAGGATGTGGCCCAGGATGGGCGAAGCTGTGGGAGCTGGGTCAGGCTGGTGGGGCTGGGAAGGGACCGGAGTGGTGGCAGTCCGAGTGGGACTTTCCCGGGATCGGCTTTCCCAGGAGCGAGTGCCCTGAGGCCTCTCGCTCTGCCCCCTCCAGATCAACGGGGTGGCCAGCAAGGACATGTCACTGGCTGCCACCCAGCAGCTCATCGAGCAGACAGAGGGGACCCTGACCCTGCTTGTCCTCCGGGACCACCATCAGTTCCTGGTCAACATCCCCGAGATAGAAGACAGCCAGAGCGACAGCTCCCGGATGGATGGTGAGGGGACGCGGTGACGGGGCCGGGGGCAAAATACACAGCACAGGGACTGGATGGTCACTAACGCATCTCCCCTCCTGTTGCTGCAGATATCTCTGACATCGACTCTGAACTGTCCCACCCGCCATCCCCTGAGACCTCTCCGGGACCTCCAGCTGCTGCCAGGATGAATTCACCACCGTAAGCCCCGCTCTGTCCCCCTCTTTGCCCCGTCAGATCCCCCTGTGTTCTCTGCCTGGCTGGAGGGGCTGGTTCTCCTCCATCACAGATCCAGTTCACCCTGGAGGTGGGACTGCCGTTTCGTCCCCAGCTTGCTCTGCTGTCCCCCTGCTGCCCACTTGGCACTGCCTGCCTGTGCCCATCCAGCGCCTGCCTCTGTGACCTGCCCAAATCCTGCCCCAACTTTGTTCCAGGGCGAGGAGACGATCGAGCAGGGACCCTGTGGCCAACACGATCGCGGATGATGCTCGGGGCCCTGGTGAGTGAGCGCAGATCAGGCCGGGGCAGCTCAGGGCACCGAGTGGGCTCTTGTGTGTCTCTGCTGCCCAAATCCCCCGGCAGAGCTGTGCCAGGTCTCCCCGTGCCTCGGCTGCCCT